CACTGCTTTTGGCGAGTTGAATCTTAAAATATAGGAAAAAAGATATATTCACTGGATTTTATTTTCACTCTGAATCATTTCTTCAGTGAAAATAGCAAAAATTAATTCCAAGCGATAATAAAGTATTTTACAGTACTGTAAAGGGGGTAATTATTCACTGGGTTTTAATTTAGCTTATTTCGCTGACTGGAAAAATGCGCTAAATTAAAACAAAGTGAATATGTAAAATTTAGCATAGAACACATTATCTAAATGATAAAACCGTGAATTTAAAACCCACTGAATATGCCTGAAATGGTAAATCAGTGAAATTTAAACCCAGTGAATATTAGTCATTTTACAGTATACACAATACACTATACAAGGCAATGGTATCCATTGTCGCCCTCACTAGTGAACATCTGATGATGTGTTATGTACGTATATTTGGTGACAGACTTAGCGGTACATGTATTAAGGCTGAGTTGATTGCATCACAAACTACCATACATGTCTGTAGAATCGAGTTGAACATAAAAAAGTAAATCTCAAGAACAGAGTGAGGAGAGATGTTACAATGCGTTTAGAAAAGGCATGAACATTTTTATAAAGTACTTGCCTGGAGGAGTCTTCTGCTACGTTTCAATCTTAAGAAGACAGCTCTATTCCTTACCCATGAGTCTCTGCATATTTCCAGCAATCATGGCTGATTTACCCCGGAACATAGATCCCAAAAATTGTATTCAAAACACCTAAAACTATTTATTCACAGATATATATATATATATATTTATATATATTTTGGATACTGTATTAGTAGCGTATGTGCTTATGTAAATGACAGAGGTCTATGGTTAAAATAAGTCATATTTTAATGATCATGTGCTTCTATTGGGATGCAATAGATGAATAGAGCAAAGCAGTATTGTCACATTTGGGATCGAATGTTTACATTTTCAGGTCAGTGGTCAAAATGGGTCAGTGGCCACACTAACGGTTGTGGAATTGTAAATACATGTAGATGGTATTCATCTGCTGAAGTGCTGTTGCTGCCAAGTTGTTTTCACTGTCATTTTATATAAAAGCCATTCATGCTTTTTCTAAACACATGTTTACTTTTTTGTTTTCAATAATTAAAACAAACTTTACGTACTGAGAGCTGCTTTTTGGATGACTTCCTAAAAGGGGACTGTCAAATCTGTGAGTATAAGGCAATGATTGTATATCTCCTCTGGTTTCATTAGGTGTCTGTGTGAATTAGCCCATCTGATTGGTTTCTCAGAACAAGCTTACGGTGATAGATTTAAACTACAACAGCAGTTGGCTTCATACAGGAAAATGGTGAGTGTAACATGAAGTGTACTCAGACATGCTTTCAAGCTTGACTGTGAGAATCTTTGCAATCATAAGGGACTTTAATTAGACTAGTACATTTAGCACAGTTTGAAATGAACCTGGCAAATAGCAAATGATTAAAAATGATCATGAACCTCATATTAGAATTCTATGAAGTTTTGCAGTATCTGGCGATGTAGTTTGTTTTTTCATTCATTCATTGAATGTTCATAATAGGTTTAAGTATTTTTAACTTAGAAATACAGCAGATTAAATATACATTGAAAATGTAAATCCAGTCATTAATGATGTATTCTTCATCACCGTGCTCAGTCGCTACTCCCAATGAAAAGTATATTGAATGCTCAGTTCTGTATTCTGTGTACACTTGTAAATGGTTTTTCTGTAGCCCATAGATAGCATGCCAAACCAGAGTGGTGTCAGTAGTGTACGTAAATCTAACCATATCATAAGAAGTACACACTACCTCATATGATGTCTGTACTTGTACAAGATCCTAATTTAGGTAAGTCCTTGTAGCATCACTGTCAAACCAAATCTGTTTTACATTTTATAAGAACTTGTTTACTCAAATTTTGACTCCTGATCACAGAATTGTGCGCTTAAACAAAATTTATTAGTCCTCATTCGAACAAAGTCTGAAAACAGGGACTATTTATTTGGGTTCTGTGTGTCCATGTGACTGTCCAAAGCCATTTCTCGGACACCTTTGACCGATCTTGTTCAAACTTGGTATACTGACAATGTATGATGACCTACATATGCACGCCGTCGTTATGATTCGATTAAATATGGCTGACTGGCAGCCATTTTGTCCTCAAATTTGCTAAATTCTGATTTTTAAACAAGTCCGGAACTGTTTCTCGGAGCTGAACAGGGTGATTTCAATCAAACTTTGTATGGTGATCATGCATATCAGGTTATAGGTGCACATCACTTTTTTTCGTGATTCGGTCCGAGATGACCGACTGGCAGCCATTTTTTTTTTTTTCGGTTTTTGTGAACTCTGTAATAATGTAAGCCTTGTGAACCACTCCTGTTAAAACCCTATCTTGTAGGTATTCAGATGCTAACAGAAGGCACCGCTGGAATGGTATTAGATGCATGTACAGATTTCTGGGATGGTACTGATCTCTGTCCGCTTACTGATACAGACAGGTTTGTACAGTATTGATATTTTTGTGAACAATATCTTGCACATGGTAATAACAGTTTTGTGCTATTCCTAAATCATTTCACTTTACTCAGATGGCTATTGCAAAAATCAAACTCAGATGACATTTTTTCAAAATTCAGATTTGTAAAAATTAACCCTGATATTTTTCCCCGCCTAAAATTCAGTGCAAATATTTTCACTTTTTGTAAAATAATCACTAAATTGCATTATAATTTTGGACAATACAAACATTTTCAGATATTGCTTTTAGTTTTTTATTAAAAGGTTTGTCAATTTTTATCAACTTTTCACTTGGAGAAGAGCAGACTGTACGAGATCAATTTGTAGATGGTGTCAAAAGTTGACGCTGATGCTCAAAGGGTTAAAATGTGGCGAAACATTGATTTCTGTTACTTTCTAGAAAGAAGATCTTAGATTTCTATCATAGAGCAAGTCTTTCAGCCTACTGTTGTGCCTTTGCATATCGGCCTTTACCTGCAATCATAAGCAGTGATTTATGTGATTCATATATTGAGATGCCAACCACAGAAGCTAATGTTCATGCAACACATGACACTGCTAGTCCTACAAAGTGAGTACCAAATTATTATTTGTACTGCTAAATTTGTACTTCTTTATCCTGACCGGCGCCCTCTAGAAACCTGGACACAACCCAGCGGCCATCTTTTTTCTATTGCAAGTACCGTAATTTTAAGGTACATGTATATAGTATATATGCTAGTGTCCATATTCCACCAAAGGCCAATACAAATTAATACCAATCCAAAAAAAATGGATGCGGCTTCTAATACGGATTTTACAGTACTATTGTTGTTCTGTAATTTTCAAAAATTTGTTTAAATGCAGTATTCCTTGTTCAACAGGGGCTCACTTATTTAAAAAATTATCTGTATCTTTTAATTGTCAATAAAACATATTCATAAAAACTATACTTGTACCCGGTTGATGGCTAATTCTGCACATGATAATCTATCGCTGGAAGTGAAGTTTATCAAGATTGATTCATATCCCCACATTATTTATTGTGACCTCAATAAAGAACAACAATATTGCAGTACATGTATAAGATACTGTTTAGCTAACATTTTGTGGCAACAGTTTGAGTTATGTAGCTATTTTGTTAGCAAAATAATATTTAATACTGCACTATTGCCATTCCAATCTTTCTTCCCAATTGCTGAATCTAGTTTAATGATTATTAACAGGTCACCTGGACACAACTCTCTACGTGCCAATGGAAAGAGATATAGATCCTCCGGCTCTGTTCATATGAGTAATATTGAAGACCCTGATGGTGTGTTTAGGTAGGTACTAGTGTATATCATGTGTGGAACATTGTTTGAATGTATTCATCATCACCAGCCAAGATCATTTTATTCAACCATCACATCACTACTATACACTCCATTGTGAAAAGTATAGTTTACGCAGAGTTCATGAAACCCTGCGATTCGGACAATGAGATGTATTAGAAAGTGTAGGAGTAAGCTAACATAATGCCACTTTAAAATTTAAACATGTGTAGTAATGATTTCACTTGAAAAGTGATGCACATATACACTGCTGTATCAAATCTGTTACCATAACAAATGACCATATTAGGTTGGAGGTGCACATCTAAAACGACCGCACAATGGTAATGTAAATGACTGCCAGTCTGTGCTTAGGGAAAACACAAACTTTTTCATTGTATTCTGAGTTTGATAGAAAGGATGATATTACAAAGAGTGAACCCTACCATTTAGTCGTGTTATTGTATTATCGATTGGTTTTGCTCTATTATAAGTTTTATTTCCATTACAGAGCTCAGTGTGGTCAGATTTTTATTGGGATGGTTGCCATGCAGTACCAAGCCAAACGAGACATTGTTAGTCTTATTGAGAATCTTGACAATGCTTGTATTAGATTTGTACATTTTTCCCCTGATAATGAAATGAAAAGCAAGGTGGGTTATTTCTTAGTTTTTTTCTCTACAATGTCAGTAATAGACTAAATCACCACAGTACATTGAATTCTATCATAGCAAAACAATTTACTTTCCATAGTTGGTCACTCTAAAATTCCTCTGGAAACTGATGAGTCTCTGTGTCCCAGTTCTCTGAGTCTTGTCAGTCTTTTTTTTACACACATGCAGAAGAAAAGCAAATGTTTATTAACAACTTTCGGTCATATCGATACATTTCAAAACTGTTTTCACATAACATTCAATTGTTGTTTTTTTCGGTACGAAAACTGATAAACTCATCGACCTCATACCAAAATGGCAGTTTGTGCACAACAATCTTAGTTAGCCCCTGTTTTACTGTACTTGTTTGTGTCTGTGCAGAAATAAGTAAGTTTCAGGTTCAGTCCTTGCACATTCAAAGTTCAAAAATTTTGTTTCAGGTTTTTGCAGAGAAAGTTGGACTTGAAGTTGGTTGGAACTGTCATATTTCACTGCGTAGTTCTGAAATGCCCCCCGCTAACCATGTGGCCACACAGCTCGGCTACACCACCCCTACCAACAAAAAAACATCTCAACAATCACTAATCAGGAAGAAAAATGTAGAAGGGGATGTTTTAGTCGATGTTGAGAACCTTCAAGTCAAGTGGAAAGACGAAGAAAAGATGAACAAAACTTTACTACCTCCTATCAGTGTAAGAAGGAAATTACAGACAACTAAATCGCTTGATAATGTGTCGGAACACGAGGACGCCGTTAAAACACTCATTCACAGCCGATCATGCGGGAATGTACCAATATGTACTTCTGAAGAGTTCGTAGAAAGTACACCAATGACGGCTGATGCCAACCCTGCCAAAGATATATCCTTCAGGGACAGTTCACGAATGCAAAAAACTGGTAGCTGCAATCCAGATGAGTCGTTGAGATTACGACATGTGTCAGAGACATGTACGTACAGTACCATCGCTAGTGAGGAGTATGAGATCGATGGATTGTTAAGCAATCTAACGGATAGCGCTTTTGATATGACTAATAGAGTAAGTCGATCACTTTAAATATTTCTCTCAGCGTATGACTCTGTGAAAAAATTTGATATGAGTTCTATAAAAGTACTTTCCATAGTATCAGCGGCAAGAATCTTCTATGAATCTTTAAAATTATAGGAAAAAATTTACTGAAGCAAGCACTATTTTTGTGAAAAACACTGATTAGCATTTTGACAGTTTTTATATGGAAGACAGATGTATTATATTTCACAGTAAGTTTTCCAATTGAAAAAAAAAAAAAAAAAACTTATTATTAATTAATAATAAATGCAGCAGTTTTATTTTGCATAACTTTGTGCAAATGTACTCAGTATAGCATGGCGGCAGTCACTGCACCGTAGGTGGGCAATCACTGCAAATTAACAGACACTGCACATTAACAGACACTGCACCATACATGTAGGTGGGCAGTCACTTACATCGGGAGACACTGTCATTGCACTGAACATGTTCAATACAAGTCCTATGTCTGCATAATAGGAATTGTTCATTTTACGTAAAATGAATTGCGTCAAATGAATTGTTCATTTCCATACTAGTACAAGGCTATCGTATATTGCAAGAAGACACAGTCTGCTGCTTTCAAAGGTTAAACCTTAAGTGTTATTGATTTCAGGCCAAACTACCTCGAGGTATTGAGAATATCCGCCCACACATAGAAAATGTTGACAATGTCCCGTTATTGGTACCGTTATTTACAAACTCTACACCTGATGGTAAGTTGTTGGATATATATTCATTTCAAAAGATCTGATCTAGTAAGTTTTGATAAATTTATACTTGATGGTTTTATTCTTTTTTTTTTTTACCCCACAGCTACTAAAGAAATGATTACAGTCATGCAAGAATATGGTGAAGTGGTATGTTGTATTGGTAGTACTGTTAATGTGTATAACACTGCAATATTCCTACAAGCTGATCTTGGGTGAGTGCTGCATTGCCAAGTTCAAATTCACAGATATGCACTATTGTCTCCTCATTATGTGTACATCATACTTTATATTTACCTGCTGTGACACATTCAAGTGCCATGTTCGGCTTAAAAGGTTAGACGCACAATGTATACGGTACCACAATTGAATAATTACAAGTGAATGTCCCTCAAATCATCAGTGAACATCAGTGATTGTTAAATATAATAAATCACCATTCTGCCCAGGTATTATTATTATTATTATTATTAAATCTTTATTGCAGGATATAGAGTGGAATGTTCGTACATCCCGTTAAAAAACAAACAAAAAAACAATATATAAGCACAGAGAAAAAAAGCAAATATATCAAAAAGACTTGACTTATAAATAAATCCATTGTTCTAGTATAGCTGTGGTGCATATATAAGTTTACGGTAGAGAACATAAAACTTTGAACATAAATGTGTGTCAGATGATAAAAGCACCACAACGGTTCTATCATCACTTTTACGCGTGTAGAGTGAAAAAAGCATGTTTCGTCTGGGAGTGTCAAATGTAGAAATGTATATCATTCAACTTTGCAAAGAAGCTCTCCATGAACGAACTATGTGCTCATGCTTTCAATGTCAATAAGATGCTACTTACAAGATTGTGGCTACCCAACCCTAACAAGTAACAGTCAGAAATCTGTTAATTGAGGTTTTCGAGTGATATTTGTCATATGGAGGTTTTCATTTTATAGTTTTCCAGTTTTTAGTGGTTGGTTGGGTCGGTTGGGTTTTTCACACATACTATGATAATTTAGAATTTCTCTGAAACTACTGGACACATCTCTCTGATTGACATCTCTGCAATGATTTCTTGACAGCATTGGTATTGAACCCCTCTACCCTCAGGTGTGCAAGCAACATCGTGATGAAGAGTTCCTAAGGCATTGCAACAGTTCCACTAACAATACCGAGGGCCTGTTACCTTTAGATCTCAGTCACATGTTAGCTGGTTTACCATGCTCATTGTCTTTCCATAGAGAAGACAATATAAGCATTATTGAGATGATCAAGGAGGTAATGTGCTTATATTTCTCATTCTTTGCAAATATGAGACTCCCAGAACAAGCTAAAAAAACATAAAATGTGTTTCTTTGGTGTTCAGTTTAGACAGGTTTCAATATATCATTCCTTTTGGTGTTTAGTTAAGATGTCTCTCTTTATATCAGTCCAGTTCGTGTTCAGTTTAGACAGGTTTTATTATATCATTCCCTTTGGTGTTCAGTTTAGACTGGTGTCATCATGTCAGTTTTTGGTTTTACCTATAAAAAAACTTGGCATACCGGTATTATTAGTAGATATCTTGTGCTCACCTTCTCACTCATTTCATTTTAAGAAAACTCTTAAAATGTGTTTTAGCCAAACAATCTACCTTAATCAAGATAGCCCCCGTAAATTCATATTTTGCAGTTTATTTTTATTACCCATCCAAAATGGTGGTGTGTATATACTAGTATTAGTTAGGAAACTTACAGATTTGCAAAGTGGGATTGCAATGTTAATTAAAGTGAATGGTCAGGAGAACCAAAATTCTGAGCGAGTTATTCTGAGTCTGAATATTGAGTGGTGTAGAGATGCCTCTGTATTCAGCTTTGTCACCATTTGGAATCTATATATTGATTTGATAGTAGAAGACCATCTATGTTTTTTGTTCTGGATTGTTTTCTTCCAATATGACACTAAAGTAATTTATGTTTGTTAATTACTATCTGGGATTTCACTCATTAACATATTGCCTATTCGTGGTAGCTTTCAGCATGTGTGTTTTTCATTGTTTCGGCAGGCTAGAAGTTTCACACACGCCATCATCAACTGTTTCATCTTTCTGATGTACTGCCAAATAGCCATCTCCGTTATACAATTGGTTGCATGTTTTTTATTGCTACCACCGCCGTTGACAGGAAATCATGTTTTATGGATGTCTTGCGTGATTGTACCACTGGTGTCGATTACATTCTTCGCAACACCAACTGACCGGAAAATTATGCGATTGGCTCCAAGCAAGAATTTAAAACACTGGGATATGCAAGTGAGTATTGGTGGTCTGTAACAATTGATGATTGTTGAATGAGTGTATTTTCTATACACTTTAGAACGCATGATGCTGTGAGTTATTCATCTATAAATTAATTATCAGTGTGGTCAGTATGCAAGCAGTCAGTCATGGAGAATGTCTGGAAAGATGACAGTGGCATTCTTTATATGGGACTGATGCCTGGCACAAAATTGTTATTAGAAAAAAAAAAAAAAGAACATCATCCACAGAGTCCGGAACCTGGAGATATGTCAGCGTGTGGTTACTTGTGTGTACTGTAGATATTGTTGTTGGGTATATAGTCATGTAATGGTTATGGCTTATAGACCAAGAGTGTGAAGCGTTAGCGATTTATGTTCCATAATTCAACAAATTTGTACCATGGCTGTCGCAAAGTGGGTAATTTATTAGCTCCGCTGTCGACTTTGTCGAGTGGAGCTTATCATACGAGTCGTCCGTGTCAATGTTTTACTTTTTTGACTTCTTCTTGAAAACTACAAGCCTGAATGCTTTGATACTTGGTGTATATGTACCTTTTAGGTTTGTTCATTTCATGTTGATATCTTCAATTCTCTAATTTTGGTGAATGTTTTTGTCAATTTTGGTATAAAGTGATATTTTCGACTTCTTGTTAAACACTGTAAGTCCGATTGCTTTGATATTACATATATAGGTACTACATGTGGACCTCTCTCAGATTTGTTCATTTTGTGATGATATCTTAAATTCTCTAATTTGGGTGAATATTTTTGTCATTTTTGGTGAAAAGTGATATTTTCAACTTGTTAAAAACCAAAAGTTCAATTGCTTTGATATTACATATATAGATACTACATGTAGACCTTCTCAGATTTGTTCATTTTGTGATGATATCTTCAATTCTCTAATTTTGGTGAATATTTTTGTCATTTTTGGTAAAAAGTGATATTTTCGACTTCTTGTTAAAAACTGTAAGTCCGATTGCTTTGATATTATACATATTGCTCATTTTCTAATGATGTCTTCAGTTCTTTAATTGAAATGTGCATTGCTAACAGCGGAGCTATCTCAGCCGATAGGCTGCTTGTTTATAATTTATGTTGCTGTGTATATGTAACTTGAACTGTAGTCAATTTCTTACATATTTAAAGTTGTCTGTATTTGATTCCATGTACCATGACATAACTAGGTTATAGCCATTTCAAAAATGAGCTGTGGTCCGGCTTTTATCATCATGACTTTGTACTTGATCTCAATATTTATTTTCTAGGTGATTGGTCAGCATACTCTTTACTTCATCTTCAAGTTTTTCTTTTCCATCTTGGTGTGTGTTTTAATATTCGCTATGTGCCTGAATAATTTATGCGTGGACATGACAGGAAGTCAGCAAGAATGCCATATTTTACTGGGAGATAGGTAAAACTTGATAATTGCAGTTAATTATTACACCACAGATCTCACTTTAAAATCAAAGAAAGCTTAGAAAGAACTCCCATGTGCTGAGAGTATTGGAGACACATTAAATATAATTTGAAATTACTTAGCTGAAAACTAATTATGCAAATCAGAAAATTAACATGAACAGATTTGAGTGTAAAACTAATGAGGTCTGTGCAATGTAACAAAAACTCTATGTACCAAGTTTAATTGAAATGTGATTAGAACCAAAAAATTATGAATTAATATGAATTAATATGAACAGATTTTTACCCCAAACTAATTAGGTTTGTACATTGTCCTAGAGCATCTTTGTACTAAGTTTCATTAAAATGGAATAATTAGTACTTTAGAAATCAGTGTGAAAGCTTAAAATTGGTTAATTATGCA